GCAAGCATTGGTGAGAGAAATTAGCAAAGACCTAAATAAATGGAGAGAAATTCTATGGATCAGAACACTCAGTCTTAAGATGCCTCTTCTCCCCAAATTGTACTGTAGTGTCAGCTCAATCCCCAAAAAATCTCAGAAAGGATTTTTTGGTATAAATTGACAAGCTGATTCTAAAATGTGTATAGAAATGCAAAGGACCTAAATTAGCCAAAATAATTTTGCAAAAGAACAAAATTGGAGGAATTATACTACCTGATTTCACGACTTACTACAGTCTCATAACAGCAGTTAAGTGATTAAGACAGTATGATATAGGCATAAAGATGAACAGATAGATCAATAGAACAAAATAGGGTACAGAAGTGAGCAAGTACATACAGAGTCAATTGATTTTGACAAAGTACCAAGGTAATGCAATGAGGGAAGAGACCGTATTTTCAACAAATGGTGCTGGAACAATTAGCTATCCATGTTAGAAAAAAAAGTGAATTAATCCCTGCCTCATACCACATATAAAAATTAGTAAATTCAGTCTGGCCTGCATGGCTCAGTGGCTGAGCATCAACCTATGAACCAGGACGTTGCAGCTCAATTCCCGGTCAGAGCATATGCCGGGTTGTGGGCGTACAGGAGGCAGTCGATCAATGATTCTCTCTCATCATTGATGTTTCTCTCTCTCTCTCTCTCTCTCTCTCTCTCTCTCCCTCTCCCTTCCTCTCTGAAATCAATAAAAATATATTTAAAAAAATAATAAATTCAAAATGGGTTGGAGATCTAACTGTCAAAGCTAAAACCATAAATGTTCTAGAAGAAAACATAGCAGAACCTTTGTGACCATGGGCAATGGTGTCATAGGCAGGACACTGAAGCACGAATCATAAGACATATGATAATTGGATTTCATAAAAATTAAAAGCATTTACTCAACAAAATTTTTGCAAATACTTATGAAACAAAGGACTTGTTGCCAGAATATATAAAAACTCTCACAACTCAATAATAAAAAGGCTAAAGGTTTAAATAGATAATCACCAAAGAAGAAATCTGTCCTGACTGGTAGCTCAGTTGGTTAGAGTGTCATCCTGACACATCAAGGTTTCAGGCACAGACAAGAATCAGCCAGTGAAGGCTTAAATAAGTGGAACAGCAAATAAATGCCTCTCTCCCTCTCTCTCTCTCTCCCCTTTCCTCTTTCTCCAAAATCAATAAATCCTATATAATAAAGAGCAAATATGCTAATTAGACCGAACAGCAGAATGACCGTCCGGATGACCTTCCAGATGAAGCCAGGGCTGCGAGGGCCGAGCCCCTTGCATGAATTTCGTGCATCAGGCCTCTAGTAAAAAATAAAACATTTTCATCATAGAAGTTAAAATTGAAGAAAAAAAAAGAAGATATCTGAAAGGCAAATAAGAACACAAAAAGATCCTTAACATCATGAGTGATTAGGGAAATGAAAATTAAAACTACAATGAGCTACTACCACACGCCTATTAGAATAGCTAAAAATATTTAAAAACCAAAACCAAAACACTGACCACACCCAGTGACGGGAGCATGCACTTCCGTTGGAATGGGAGGTGGTACAGCCGCCTGGGATATCAGTTCTTTTATGTTTCTTTCATTTTTTTTATAAAAGTAAACAAGTACTTACCGCATAAGCCAGCAATTCCATTCCTAGGTATTTGTCCATGAGCAATGAAGACATGCACCCGCACCAGGACATGTGTATCATGTCAGCAGCAGCTTTATTTCATAGCCAATTTGTGGTACATCCATGTAATGGAAACCGCTCAGCAACAGAAAACAGGCTGCTAATATACCATCAACTATATGACTCTCAACGCTTTATGCCGAGTGAAAGAAGCCAGTCCCAAAAGGCTATTTCCTGTAGAATTCCATTTATATGCCATCTAGAAAAAGCAACAGAAATCAGAGCAGTTGTTGCCAGGGACTGGGGGTGGGGCCCAGGGAGACCTTAAGGGCGAGAAATGTCCTCTATCGTGATTGTGGGTGGTAACACCAATCAGACACAAATATATATTTGTGATTTCACCATATGTATATTATACCTCAATAAACCGGATTTTTAAAAAAGAACCGATGTGTCATTATGCCTTGACATCCATTTCCACTTCTTCTTTTTTGTAAATCCTCACCAGAAAATATTTTCCCATTGATTTTTAGAGAGGGGGTGGAGAGAGGGAAAGACAGAGAGGAATATTGATGTGAGAGAAACACATCGATGGGTTGCCTCCCGCATGCACCCCGACCAGGGCCTGAGCCTGGCCGGTGAGGAGCTTGCAACTGAGGTACATGCCCTTGACTGGAATCGAACCCGGGACCCCTCAGTCTGCAGGCCAGTGCTCTAGCCACTGAGCCACACCAGCCAGGGCCATTCCCACTTCTTAAGGAAGGCGCACCCTCCCCTCCCCACCCCACCTCTTTTGCCCCAAGGGCCTCCTGGTTTCTCTGCTCCTACGCACTGAGGGTGAGCCCTGAGCAGCATGGCTGCCCCCTGCATCACATGCATAACACACGGGGGAAGAGGACAAGGGGAGAGTGAGACAGGGCTGTGAGCTCCCCACACCAGCTCACCTCCAACCACTGGGGGCACAGGCAGCTCAAGGTGAGTTCTGGCACCTGTTACCAGAGTCGGGCCAACGCCAGGTAAGAACACCCGTTCCTGGTCCCAGGGTGAGTGGGGCTGACCGAAGAGGCTGTGTCTGCTGAGCTGGCAGACGGGGGGCAGCGTCCTCTCCCCCCTCCCTTCAGGCCCACCTCCTCCCAACCTGCACAGATGCTCCTGAGGGCGCATCCAGTTCACAGGCTCCGACCCTCAGAGCCTCCTGTGGCCCTCGCTTCTCTCTAGGCTACTTGGGGAGCCAAGAGAGGGGATGGTTGTCCATCGATCATCCAACTGCAGAGGCTGCTTCACCCGGTGCAGGCTACCGATAGCCTCGTTTTACAGAGGTGGAAACTGAGGTCCAGGGACGTTCACCCAGCCAGGAAGGAGCCACGATGAGGTGTAAACCTGTGTGAGCCTGACCCCAAAGCTGAGGTTTGAGCACCCCCTGAGGATGCCACCCGGTTTGTCTTTCTGTTCCCTCCCCCACACCGTTGCTCCTTGTTTCTCTGCCTGCACCCTCACAACTACACAACTGTTTGCACACAAGTGCCCTCCCGTCTGTAAGGCTCAGCTGGCAAGGGGCCCATGGGGGCAGGGGGGCCTATGGAATACGTTCAACAATAAAGATTTATTAAAAACACAGCTGGCTCTGATACCAACGCCCTGCTCTCCTCCGGATTCACTTGGGGAAGGAAACCTGCAGTCAGACAAGGCGAAGCAGCACCACCCACCAGGCGGCTCCTGGTAGCACTCTGCAGGGGGTGCCAACCTCTCAGAGCCACAGAGCTCAGGGGAGGTGGTGGGGCCCTTCCCTCTCGGGCCTGCCAGCCAGTGAGGGAGCCAGGCCGTAGGGTAGGTGCCCCCACTGCAGGCCAGCAGGCGCCGGGCACCAAGGCTCTGCTGGAGGCCCCTGACCGCTCGCAGCTCCCCGAGGCCTGGCAGCGCAGCACTTCCTCCTCTGCCACCAGGCTGCCCTGCTTTTCTCGGGCCAGTGCTTGGGCATCTGGGCTGGTGCGGGGTGGGTGCCTCAGCCAGAGCCCCTCCTGCAGGCTCAGGGGGGGCGGACCCTGTGCAGACAGCACGGGCCTGCACCAGGCCTGCACCCGCCAGCACTCCTCCGGCCTCCTCCTCTCCTGCAGCTGCTGTCCTGGAGGTGTCGGTCTGCCAGGCCCTGGCCCTGAGGCTGTGCGAGGCTGCGGAGCAAGTGGCCTGTGAGGAGTTGGTGAGGGGAGGAGCGCTGGTGCACACCGGGCCTTGCACTTGGTTGGCGAGGCAGGGGGCGGGGGGGTGTGGGGGACGACAGGAGGAGACATGGAGCAGGGAGAGCCCAGAGCACTGACTGCCGGGGACTGAAGTGGGCAGGTACCTGGAGCAAAAGCATGGGCACAGGGGCATTTCCCAAGTTCCTCAGCTGGCAAGCTGCGCCTCGCGTGTGGTCGGCGTGTGGTCGCCGTGCTTCCTGCCTCCTTTGCTAGACAGCTGCCATAGACCTTCACCAGCCCTGGCCAGTTTGGCTCAGTGGATAGAGCGTGGGCCTGTGGACTAAGGGTCCTGGATTCGATTCCAGTCAAGAGGTGGCTGGAGCTTGGGGTAAAGGGAGATCAGGACTCTGGCACCGGCCAGGCCAGGGCACTGGTTGGCAGTCCTCAGGGTGGGCGCCCAGTTCCACGGCCTTCTTCCCAGACTCTAAGTGGACATCAGCTGAGGGCCTGGGGGGCCAGGCCCAGTGCCAGAGGCAGCACCCTCCACCCCTCCACCCCACCTGGAGCCTGGCACCCCCCACCCTCACCTATGGTTTAAAGAAATGTCAGAACCAGCCTCAGTCAGTGGAAACAGAGAGGGGTGGGGATTAACAACAAAAAACAAACATCGATGCCCAGACACTGGCTTCACATTCTTCTGAGTCCAGTGCTCAGTGTGGAAGGAGGGCTCTGAGGCCCCTCCTGGGCCCCGGGAGAGGATCTGAGTGACACTGGGACCCAGTGACTCCCTGTGCAGCCACCACAGGAAGGGGGGCGGCCGGTCCTCCAGGGAGGCGGCCTGCAGGTGTCTGGTGAGTGCTGACAAGCTGCGGCCGGCCAAAGCTCCCTCCGGCTCGGCCGGGAGCTGATCCATTCAGCCTTCCAGAGCCTGTTCATTTCTCTCACCTGTTCATAAAGGGGCCACGGGCGCTAGAAAGAACTGGGTTCTACGCCAGGCCTGCCACCTCCCCTCCATGAATGCGGGCAAGTGATAGGGCTTCTGAGTGTCCTCCAGGCAGGTCATAGGGACGGCCGGCAGCTGTGGGGTAGTTACAGGGCGACTGCCGTTGCCTGGCACCCACGTGGCAGGGACCTGAGAGGCACATCTTCCAGGTTTTGCATCACAAAACGCAGTTTCCTTCATACAGGCACCGGAAGCAGGGGCCTCCAGCGCGGGCGCCCCGTCGGTCGGGGAAGGCTGGCGTCATTGCCAGCGCTGCTCTGGGGCGCACTGCAGTGTCTCTGGGTGAAATGTCACATCTGCAAACGGGGACACTGTCCCTCCTTCTGTGAGACCCAGGAGGCTAACCTAAGTCCACATCTGTGCGCAGCGTCCAAGGGCCGTCCCTCACCCCCCTCCTGGTGGCACCGCTGGCGGCAAGGTGGGCTTCGGGCACAGGGCGCTGCTGAGCTGGGAACTAGTTTGTTTATCTGTGGAGAGGGCGGCCGGGCACTGAGGGCCAACAGGCAAATATTTGCAGTTACGGATTAACCAGAGGCCCAGGCTGTCATGGCGGCAGGAGGGCGGCCTTGCGGTCTCTCCACGGCCCACCCCAGTAAGTCCCCTTCCAGGCAAGTCTGTGGGGTGGGCTGGAGGAGGGCGGACAGGCTGAAGAAGTCCCTGAGCCGGGTTGGAGGGGTGGCTGGAGCTTGGGGTAAAGGGAGATCAGCACTGGCACCGGCCAGGCCAGGGCACTGGTTGGCAGTCCTCAGGGTGGGCGCCCAGTTCCACGGCCTTCTTCCCAGACTCTAAGTGGACATCAGCTGAGGGCCTGGGGGGCCAGGGCCAGTGCCAGAGGCAACATGGAGCCTGCACCCTCCACCCCCCGTCCCACCGGGGGCCTCTGGTTTAAACAGATATCAGAACCGGCCTGTGGCGGTGGAATGGGCCCGGCAGGGGCAGCCTGGGCAGGGGCCTACCCCTTGGTCTCGGGGACAGGCAGGGTTCCCTGGCTCCCAGCGGGGCACCTAGTGGTTTGGGGCTTGGGCTTAAGTCCGAGCTCTGCCACCTCCTGATAGTGGGTTTTTAATACGTTACTTCACTCTTCGGAGCCTCGTTGTCCTCCGTAAAATGGAGTGACGCCATAGCCTGCGTCTGGGGTGGCGGTGAGCCTTACCTGAGATAGTACTAGCTAATGTTTACCCAGCATTTGCTATGTGCAAACCATATTTTAAGAGCTTTATGCGAGTTCACTCACTTAAGTCTCACAATAACTCTATAAGGCAAAAGTACAGTTTTCTATCCATTTTACAAATGACGAAAATGAGGCGTGGCGCCGTTCGGTCCCTGCCCGGTGTTGCTGCCCTGGAGGGCGCAGTCTGGCCTGGTGGCCTGCCCTCTGACCGGGACAGAGCTCGGAACACCCCGCTGGTGTCTGATAGGTGCTGGCGGTGACTCGGCCCGGCCGAGCAGCAGGGCCCCACTCTGAACTTTCACCCCAGAATAGGGAGGGCATGAGCGTTCTGGGGGTGCCTGCCACGGTCTTCTGTGCGGAGTCCCCTTCCCACTTCCCCTCTCCCCTCAGAGTAGGTGGCATGCCCTTAGCCCATGCGGACAAGGCTTCAGGTGGCGTCTGCCTGGTGGCCGGGAGCCCCGCTTCTGCCTGACACCAGCACAGTGGGAGCTGCAGAGCAGGGCTGGTGGGCTGTGGGCTCAGAGGTCCTCCTCAGACAGGTGTCAGCAGTTCCAGAATGTGGCGGCTGGCCAGCCTCTTCCTGCTCCTGGCCGGGGGAATTTCCAGCTCACCCGTCAGTCCTGGTAAGACCACTCCCCCGTCCCCAGGACCCCGGGGGCCGTGAGCCTTCAGCCACCCACTGAGCGGGCTGCAGGCAGAGTGCTGGGGGCCCAGGGAGCCCCAGGTCAGGGTACATCCTGGAGCTCCTTCCTCCACCTGGGACGTGGTCACAGCGTCTCCTGAGCCTTCCCCCTTCACTCCCCACTCCTGCAGCTGGGAAAGCCCTAGGCCAGGCCGGGGGGTATCAGTCACACCCCCTCAGCCTGTCCTGAAACCCTGCCCCCCACCCCGGCCCCATAGCCAACAGGAGGGGCAGGAGGCTGGGGAGGTCTCAGGAAGATCGGCTGCCTGCTCCTTGCATTTGTGCCTCTTTTTTTTGGTTTTGTTAATCCCCACCCCAGGATATTTTTTCCACTGATTTTTTAGAGAATGGAAGGGAGGGAGGGAGTAGGGGGAGAGAGAGAGAGAGAGAGAGAGAGAGAGAGAGAGAGATCAATTGGCTCCTTCCCACATGTGACCAGGAATCAAACCCAAGACCCTCTGGTGCACAAGCCGACACACTAACCACTGAACACACTGGCCAGGGCTTTATGCCTCTCTTTGAGCTGCTTCTCTGCTTAGGGTGCCCTTCCTCCTCCCCCTCTCCCGCTGGCCTCACCCTTCAGCTCAGGCCTATAGCCACTTGGTCATCGGTCCAGACTCAACCCAGGCACACCTTTCTCTTCCGGCCTTTGCATTTTCTCTCAGCTTCTCCTCCACACGCCCCGGCCTCGATCCCCCACCCCAGCCGCCCTGTCCCCAAGACAGCCCCTCTCGGAGCCCAGGAGGCCTGCGGGGGTCCTCACTGGGTGCCGGTCTGTCACCCACGGGAGGAGCGTGGGCCATGCTCGCGGAGGTGGTGTCGAGACAGGGCTGCACAGGTGAATTCCGAGAACAGCGAGACTGGTTTAACTTTGCCAGAGAACAACCGCATGTGGCATGTGGCGGCAGGTGCTCATTTCTGGACCAGTTTACCCAGCACAGTAAGACAGCCTCAGTTTGGAGGGAAAACAGGTCAGCGGGGAAAGACGCTGGCTCAAGGTCACACAGACACCAGGGTGAGGTTCAAAGGGAGGTCTGAATGGTCAAGTCTCCTGACCCTCAGCCTCCAGCCACCTCTTCAAGGGGGGAAGCAGAGGAGGGGAGAGAGTCATGACCTGGAATCATAAGTCCTTCCCAGGCTCACCCCAGCTTGGGCCCCCGATCCAAAGTGAGCCCCCCCAACCAGACTCAGTGTTCTCCAGTGGTGAGCACCCCCATCCCCCCAACCAGACTCAGTGTTCTCCAGTGGTGAGCACCCCCCTCCCCC